TTTTGTTTTTGTTTTCGGAACCGGGTATTGAACTCAGGCCCCTGCGCTTGCCAGGTAAGCGCTTATTCCACTGAGCCATCTCCCCGGCCCCTATGCTTGTCTTGGTCACTGCCTGGAATAGGAATACTGTAAATCACAATAAATATTTAATATTCACTCAACCTTGAATAGGTATTGAGCATCTACTATAGCATGGTACCGAGCAGGGGGCAGATGAATAGAATACAATAGACAGTAGAATCGGTAGTTGGCCAATGAGAAGAACTGAAGGAGATAGATCTGCAGAAGCAGGATTTGACAGGAAGCAGTTATGACATGGGTGCGCCCTGGCACGCACATGCATGACACTCTGGGGTTGCCCGAATCAGTGTCACAGGCTTCTCCCTATACTGGCACTCCGTACGGGCATCAGAAGTCTCCCTGCCTTCCCGCTCACAGCTTTCAGGTAAACGCTCTGGGGGACCCATGAGGCGCTGCGTCACTGGGGGTCCCTAAATATTGCCCAAGCTATAGTAAAAAGTGCCTTTACCGGACTCTCCTCAAATCACCCTACTTGAGAGCCTACCATCTATCTCTCTCAGAGACGGGTGAGGAAAAGCTTAGCAAGTCTGGAGAAATATGGCTGAAGTAGGTAATTGGGAAGGAAGGTGGTTCAGCTAAGGCATGAGGTAGACCACAGCCAGAAGGCGATGGGATGGGCAGATGGAACGAATGCAAACATGAGCGAAATACGGAATACACTGAGGGTGGTACGAGGGTGGTGCGAGCTAGGCCTCTGGTCCCCTAGCCGGCCCGCCAGGAGGCTTTCCCGACGCTGTTTGCATTCTCTACCTGGCAGGATGTGGGAGGCCCCGCAGCCGGAGGAGCCGGAGGCGCCGGAGCCGGGCTGCGAGCTGCCGTGCGCGGCGTCCTGCCACGCGCAGCGCGTCCTGCAGACCCTCAACGCTTACCGGCGGAGCGGCACCCTCACCGACGTGGTGCTGCGCGCCGGCGGCCGCGACTTCCCGTGCCACCGCGCGGCGCTGAGCGCGGGCAGCGCCTACTTCCGCAGCCTGTTCGCAGCGAGCCGCCCGGAGCGCGCCCCGGCCGG